ATTTTAGATAATACATTCTCAGTAGTGATACAAATATGGTCTACATTACCCACCAGTCTTTAGCATCCTTTTGTCCTGGGCTCACAAGTGCTATCCAATGGGTTGTGTGAAGCACTTCCCAGGGAGTATATTTAGATTTTCTGGTGATAAATAGTCACCTGAAACACCAATAACAGTGTATGGCTTTTCTCTTCCACCAGCCACGTTTGCCTCTTCTGCAGTCCATACTGGGTTTTCTTCTCCTCCTAGATTGTTGTTCTGCTGTGCTTATTTCTTTCTCACCTTATATTCATGAGCTGTTCTATTTGCTGACAGTTTATAAACACACTTTCGTGCTTTGCTTTCCACACCTAAATTATCAATCAGGAGAACACGTTCAGAGCCCCCCGACAGCATTTATATGGTCATAAGTTGATCACGGTACCAAAGTCCTACACTAAGTCAATCTAACATCTCTCTTGCACAGAAATGCAGAGTCCAGATCTCCTTTCCTTCCCTCATTTTCAGCTGCGTTTTCTTGCTCCAGCACTCATCCATCAGAGACAGTTTCAGCTCATTAAATCAGCCAAGAATGAATAAATAAATAAATAAAGAGATTTATTGTTGTTTGGGTTTTCTCAGAGGCTATTTTTCACCAGGGAGGAAAGGATAAAACCACTTAGCCTATTTCACCTAATTGCAATGTCATGCTGTTTTACATGAGATTAAATTCATCTAAATTGGAGCTGCAGCATTTATTCCTTCTGTGTTCACAACTGTGTCCCTTCTTTTGGGTCATCACTAATACTCACAGGAATAGTTGGTGAGCCAGCCAGCCAGGAAGGCTCATTTCAGTCAAAAAATCTATTAGCTTTTCTTTGGCAAGATCACTCCTTGCTGAATCAACTCACTGAACTCAGCAGCTGCACTAGAAATTCAGTTCAGACTAAACAACCTTGGATCTGCATTTCCTTCATGCCACATCTGAAAGCGTTCTGCAATGCATAATGAGAGGCACAGCAGTACTTACTTGCTTTCTAAACTGCAGCAGATGACAAATCAGTGAGTGCCAATTATTGAGGGATTATAAACCCTTTTATTCCCACCCACAGAATTTAGCCCATGCTGAGAAACCTCTTGATTTTACTCCATCCCTTAGACAGCAAGCAACAGCTCATACTTAGCACAATAATACAGTCAGTTACAGTTATACCTGCTGTATCATAAACAGATCATGTATAGAGCTTCTCAATAAGTAGATACATCACTCTGTGAGGATAAGGCAGAAGAGAAAACGATTCCAAGTGACTGTTCCTCCTACACCTTCATGCTTTTTCAGAATTCCTCCCATGACTTAATTCTTCTAAGCACTCTACATCAAACGTTAATATCCAGTTTGGTATGTGGTACTTTGGAAACAGAGCATCTGTTATCCACCATCCATGAACCTAATCTCTTACCCAAGAATATCTGTTTTTCACAGATAATACTCTGAGGTTGCACAGTTTCTCTTAAGCAGATTTTTTTTTTTCACTTTTTTTGCACAATATTGCACAATCATGCAGTCAAAGGCTCCCTTATCTCCCATACACAGTCCATAAGAAGGAGGGTTTTCTCTGCCCTAACAAAAATCACATAATTGAGTCTAAGTGCATGCTTTGTTCTCTTCCCAGGGAATAGATGTTTTCCTTACACTTTCACTTATACAATCTATTAGGCTTTCATGGTACTCAAGTCAAAGAGAGTTATATGTTCTTATTGGAAGAAGCTGCATTTGTATTCCACAATAAATTATGAGAGGGCATTATAATTTCTATCACTCACACTCTGGACATTAGTGAGTAGAGAAAAACAGCAGCACAAGGCTATTTATCTACATTTCTTTGCTTTTTAGAAAACCAGTGCTCATTAAAGCCTGTCAGGGTTATTTTAACTCAAACACCACTTGTCACAGTCAACACTTGACTGTACTTTAGCTGTCTATTTAAACGACCAGGTCTATCATGTGACAGTGACACCTCTCAGATACTGTGAGCCTCAGGAAGTATGCAGACCAGTGTTTGCACTGCAACAGGATGCAAAACCTACAACAAAGATCATATTTAGCATTCTGTAGGAAGAAATAGCTTCAGTTATCCTTACCAGGCAGAGCTTGCAACCTAAACAAAGGGAATATTCTCTTCACACTTAAAAGGCACTGAAATATGAAGTCTGGGTATGACAGACAAATTAAAGGGGCAATTTGTCAAGGTGCTTGGTTGCACACATAGACTAGTAGCAGAGTAAGAAAGTAAACAAAGACCTTTCAATTCCTTAGTCTCTATCTCACCCAGACAAGTTTTTTGAGATAAAAAAAAAAATCTTGTTCTTAAGTATCAGGAGAATCATTTTCTGTGTTGCTTCCCTCATCTACAAGTCCTATGAATCAGCAACATCCTCTCCTCTGACACACTTGCAAGGCAAGGATCTAAAAAACAAAAATCACAAATTATCTATCTGTGAATGCTGATTAAAATCACACAGTTCTGAAGGAGATTCAGTCCAGAATACTACAACATCAACACCTGCAAATTCAGTTCATTTATACCTGCTATTTTTACAATGTCCTGAAACATTCAGTGCCTTGAGATCAAAGGTCAACGTGTTACCGTGCACCAAATTCCAGAATGCATGTAAAAAATTTATGCCATCTCCATAAGGAAATCTCTCTTCATTTCTGCCAGCTTTTACCTGCCTGTCAGAGCTGTGCAATGGTAACAAATATACTTTTTTAATCTATTGCAACCCAGAAAAAAAAAAAAGGAAAATCAAAAAAAGTAATATTTCTGACTACTCAGTTCAAAGCCAGCTTTGGCCAATGCTATGAACTCCTGTTAGCCTATCATACAGTGACTTGTTCTATTTTCCTGCCTTTGGAACAACTTCTCCTGAAATCCACAGTGTTTCTTTCATACATAAAACACATACATAAAAGTACACTTTACATATTTTCTCAGCTGCTCACGATGGCTCAAATTTACAGTTTGGAAATGCAGTTTTCCAGATGTGACAAAGTCTGCCTGTTCAGATTCAGCAGTTTCCTAATTACATCTGCTGGGGAGATGCTTGATTCCTTACTTCCTCTCTATCATTTTACAGTTCTGCATCCATTCTCACCCTGACAACACCGCATTCTTGCTAGAAAATTAGTCATATTTTAAATCATATTCTTTAAATCAGGCCTGTGCTACACACACTCCAGATCTCTATCTGTGCAGATTTTTCTTCTCTAGATGTATGTTAGCTGTACAAATACCAAAAACTAATCTACTTCCTTGCAGCAGACATCAATTATACTTTCAGGGCATCCATTTCAATATTTCCCAAACAAGAAAAAGAACCATCCCTAAGCGAAAGATGGCACAGTGTCACACTTTGTTAATTGCTTCCCTTGGAAGGGCCCAAATGCCCTGACAGACCAAACACAAGTGCCAAATCTGAGCCAAACTGCTAAGATAAAATCCTTAGTTTGTAATTATTCCCCTCACTGGAACAGGGTATGAATACAAGTATTAATAAGTGTTTGTTACACTCTGTTGGTTGTTGGTTTCTTTTCAGTTTAAACTTCAAAGGAAATTAGAGAAATGCAAAGCAATTTTTTTTTCATTTATTCAGTCCCAGTTAATTTCTTTCACAAGCTGTACAATGAGATGCTCACATGAAGCAGAAGAAGAGAATTTTCTGGTTTCTTTCAGAGCTTAGAAAGTGGCCAAAGGTCTGCTTTGCACAGAAAGCAAGACTAAACCATTTCTGCTTGGTTGGCTTTTTTTTTTTCCTGGCTGTATAACGTGTGTATCTGAGATGTGGTGGCTACACACGGACATCTTTTATTCAGTATCCAGCTACTGCAAGTAATGACACTACAGGAACATCACTGACACACGACTGCTGTTTCAGACAACTATGATGACAAATTCTGCTGCTGACCAAGCTCAGCTCTGGCACTGCTATTTCCCTACTGCACACTGGTCTCACAGATGTTGTCCACCAACCAGAAGTGCTTCTTTGTGAGCAATGAGAACAAAATATGCAAGAAACTAACTCAAACATCACCTGTTTTTTTCCCCCCCATAAAAAATAAATCATCTCATCCAATACCATACCGTTACTTTTTGCCTTGACAGAATTACCGAATGACTTACTGAGGTTTATGCCAACAGAGCTAAGGCAGAGAACATTTCTCACATAGACCACATCTATTTTTGACTTGAGAGAAGAAGTTCCCAGTGTTTATGAAAACAAAAGCAGTTTCCCTGATACCTCTTACATCTCAGAAAAATCTTATTCATATCTGAGAGTCCTGGAACACTGTGAGCTCCTAGGTCTGGACACAAACCACAGATTCATCCTCCCTCCTTATTTGGGCAAAAATCCTCAGGGAAAGCAAAACTATGAGTGGATTGACAGGAAAAAAACCTATGTTGTACTTGCACAGATCCTTAGTCTGAGTGTTAGATCAAGAATCTATGGCAGGCTCCAAGGCAAGAAGTCAGCACAGACAGACAGGAATGACTTTGGTTTGCCCCAGTCCATCACAACTGAAACAAAGCAATGCTATGTACTTCAAGCACTGAGACCCACAACTGCTTCACTGCAATCCCAGCCTTAGCAGCTTACTGAAGAGAGGGTTCCTACAGAAACAAACCAGAGGACACATCTCAGTGTTTATGTTCCACCAGTTTTCCCCATGCTGGAGCCCATACCAAAGCCTCCCCTGACCCCTCACTTTACACCTGAGCAGAAGAGCAGTACATTCCTCTTGCATAGTCACAGCTTCTCTACTGATCCCTAGAAAAACCTATAGTGTGGACATTAACCTGGCATCTTTTTCCTTACATACATTTACATATTATGCATGCATCCCAAGTCCAATCCTACACTCATCCAGTTACCCAAAATAACCAGCTTCCTCACTAGTCAGAAAGCAAGATTTAGTTTTTTCCACATGGATTATGAAGAAAAATTTAATATAACTCACTTACCGAAGGATTTCTTTCCTAGTGAAGAACGTGCAATCCTGTAAAACACAACAGGTGTTACTGTACAATACGAACACTGAAAGTTTAAGTGCAAATCATTACTTCTTAATAGTTTTGGAAGGAAACTAAGATCTGGCAGAAAAAAACATTAAAGATGCCATTTGTTTACCATCTAGTTTTGATTCAGAAAGCAACATATGCTACAAAATCATGAAAATATTCTAAGAATGGGGCTGTCAGGAAAAATTATATTCTTAGAGTGGAACTCCTGGAGAAAAAAACATGCAGTCTGTTTGCAATTGGTTGGACAACAAGATGATCCTTGAGGTCCTTTTCAACCCAGGCCATTCTATGATTCTACAATTCAGTTTGCTGAAACGTTCCTCCATGTGAAATGATCAGAAGGAAAATTAAAGTGAATAAAATATAGGTGAAAAATATTCAACAGACAGATCTAGGACACAATAAATAATGAACAGATTAAGAAAACTATCTCATAACTTGGACTCTGCAATTCAGACTTGTTGAAATCACTCCTTATCAATGTCAGAGTTTTGCTGGGAGAACTGGCACTTCACAAGTGAATGGCAATTTGAGCACTGGGATATTTTGCACTTTGTGTATTTCTACACGTCACAAATCAGGTTATATTACCAGGTGTTGCAAAAGCACAGTAGTCAGACACATGCCATTAATGGAAGGAAATAGTCCCTAATTTCACTATATTGTTTACTAGATGTCTGGGGCAAATTCTGCTCTGCCTCCAAAACTAGGAACAATGCTGGCAATGAAATATTGGGTGACCAGTTCAGCTTCCTGTTCAGGCTGTAGGTTTGGATAACATACAGCTCTGTGTCATGGAGCTACCAGCTGCTGGGGAAAGTGCATGTGAGCAAGTGCTCCAATGACAAAGGCATGCAATCCTCGATGACCAGTTGCTTCTCTCACAGGCCCAGGAGATGTGGCAGACACGTGCTCACGAATTCAGCCTTTCTCCTTTAATGTAAACATTTAAAATATATATTAAAAGGCAGTTTGTGACAAGATAAGAACTGCAGGCCTGATCAGCCCTACTGAAGAGTACATATAACTGTTATACCTTCACTCCTGTTCTGCACTACAGGCAATGAGAGAAAATTTCATTTCATTCCTAAGGTGAGAATTAATCTGGCTATAAATGCTTGCTGCTTCAAAAGAAGGGAAAAGTGAATGATCACAGCTATCTGAAGCAATCAACCAGCTTGTCTCAGGTGTCCAGGTAAGCTATCAGTCCTGCCTGGTATCAATTACTCAGTTTGCTTGTTCTCCTCTGTATGAAGCAGCAGGAGAAGAGCTTTCCCCTCCGTGTGTTGCACAGCAGAATAGTGTTACAAGGCAGCACAGGAAGGCACCTTGAAAGCTGCTAACAAAGATGTCACATTGTCTGGAACTGCATAAAGTGAAATAGGAGCCAGCTGGGAAAGTCTTCATTAATTCCAACGTGCTCACCACTTACAATCAAACTGCCACTTAAGGATGCATCATTTACTGGTGAAGGCAGGTACAATCTCACAAATGATTGTGATGCTCTGTGCAGCAATCATCCCGTAATTATACAGGCTTGACAAAACAGCAGGCACTGTTATTTAACTAGAAAGCTGTCAGGGAATTGATATGCAAATAAAGATGAAAAAGACAAGTTATCCTTCACCTCCCAGAATCTTGTGAAAACATCACTGAGAAACTTTCAAAACATCATCATCTTTTTTTGCTAAATTGTCTCCTTTTTGTGCCTTCCAACACAGCTTAACTTACACTAGCACTGACAGAAGGGACAGAGTTAAAGCAAGTATCTATCGGTGGCAGGAAAGAGGTATAGGGCTGCCCTTTCTGTTGTAAGCACAGCCCCAGGTTGGATTGGAGCCACCACGGAACACAGGTCTAAGCATAATTCCATTTTGTAGTTGCTGGAACAACAGCAACTTAATTCCGATTTAATTAAAAACCTTCGGCCAGAGAAGCACGGAGGTGATTCATCCAATTTTCTTCTGTCTACTTCATTCATACAGAAAAATACACAATGATGGACAGTGAGTAGTAAACTAACATGTTGAATTAACAAACGTCACGGAACACATCTGTTATCACATAGGCTGTATTTTAGTTAATCGTGGACTTAGAGCAACCTGCCTATTCTACTTGAGCACAGGCTAACTACTTAAAGAAATGGGAACACAGTTTTCATAATTTGTAGCAGTTCTAGATTTCTGGCAAAATTTTATCCTGAAAACATAGGCTTTTCTTTCTAATTCTATGCAATGTCCAGAAACACTATAGCAGGCCCTTATGGCTTCAGGTTATTCAGAACAGAGGTCTTGCCTTGAAATGTTACCTCTTCCAGTGCCTGGGAGAAAAACCTGCTTCTCTTCTAAGACCTGCTATCCCACCTGCTCTGTCCTTATGCCCTTAGAAGGGAGCTAATTGCAAGTCCAATATAAAGGATCACTAATGGTTGTTTGGAGATAAGATACTTCTTCAACAAATCAGCAATTATCCACTTAATGTCCTTATGTCTAGTAAAGACAGTAAATATCATAAAGCAAACAGAAGATTTCCTATTGATTTTAATGAGATCATTAGCTTGTATAATGGGACTCTATTTTCATATTTGGCATTTAGGTGGCTTAACTGCTTCTTAAAATATTCTGCAGATAAGAGACTCAGACAGCTGGTGCACTTGGGTCGTATAGAATCACTGAGTCATAGCACGGCCTCATTTGGAAGGAACCCTACAGCCCACCCAGTTCCAATCCCCTGCCATGAGCTGGTTGCCACCCAGCTGGTCAGGCAGCCAAGGGCCCCATCCAGCCTGGCCTTGGGCACCCCCAGGAATGGGGCTGGTACTGTGAACCTTCTGCCAGTCACTCTGCATTGCTTGCGAAGCAGAATTAGCCATCTCTGCTCTTAGAATTTCCTTTTAAAACCAACACAGCAACAGAAGAGTTTTGCAAAACCAGAACTGATGTGTGTTTTATCCTTTGACCTGCTGTGTCAGGGGAATGTGAGTTTAGATGAATGGTAACAGAGAAACAGCGGTCCACTACCTTCCTATTAGCCTTCAGGACTTCATCACAAACTCCTAGATTGGTTCTGCTTTATATTTTGGTCGACAGGATTTGAGCAAAAAACAGGAGTAGAGATAATGATACTGAGAGCACTGATTAACTAACCAACTTTAATCTCATGTAATATACATACAGAGCATAAGGTGAAGCATCCTTCCAGGATCAGAACACGTTATGATTTGTTCTGTGGCACCTGCTGCCAATCAAATAAAACTGATCTCATACAGAGAAGTATCATTTATCAGCACAGAAAAGAAGAAAAATTGAAGAATAGAATCGAACGAGAAAACAGCAATACTCAAGTGTGCAGAGGTATTTCTTGCACCTATTAAATGTATATTTCTCCTTTACAACAATACATGTATAATTATATGCATAATTTCAGGAGAGTAGGCTTATTCTGCTCCTGCAACAGCTACATCAGAAAGCTTTACAAGCAAATAAGTGCAGCCAAACAGTCCTTGCAATGCAAAAGTCAGCCCCAATTTGACAGTCTCAAACAAATGCCAACAGGCCACAGATAAAGCAAACCAGTGCCGAACAGGCACTCGGATAACATCCTCAGGCCAAGACAGATGAATCCCTTTTAGCCATCTCACTGAGCAGCTTTTAAGAAATGAGAGGTGCTCAGTGCTGTATTTCAAATATTAACATTGTACAGCAATATTTCAAGGTATCATTGGGAAAATCCCAAGCAATCTTTAGCACTGTGGCAGAAGGACTCTGTGTCTAAGAATACTTCGATTGAAACACCATGAAAACATCATCATATTAAATAATCACCAATCAAAAGTTAAACGGTGCCAGATAAAATGAAATGAGTTTTCATGCAGTAGATGTATGATCATCTCCATTCTGTGCAGAAGTTCTGTTTTTGGATTCTAATTGCCATACAAGTAAGGCCAGTATAGAGCTGTTGTGTGAGACTGAATCACCAACACATTTATATGTATTTTCATCACTGTGCAGAAAAAACATACGCAGAAAACCCCTGCAGCCCCCACTGAGTTTCAGCAGGCCAAACCTGCAGCTTGAGAAGCAGTGGGGCATGGAGTGAAAGCAGCCGGACATAAGCAAGTACTAACACAGAAACAGACTGTCAGCAAATGCAATTTTGCTCAATCCATAGATGCAGCAAACAGTAACCTGAAACCGGAATGGGGCTGCAGGATGATTTCAAAAAAGCCTTTCCTTCATTACTGTGCTGCTGGAAGTTTGCACATTAACAGCAGTACTTTATCAAAGGGAGAAGTGCTTTTTGTGCTTCTTGGACCTGTGATGAGTGCTTTTGGCACTCTTGCCCCCTAAGGAGAACATTTTCATGACAGATGCTGACTGAGCCAAGAAGAGTTTTTTAAAACCAGCAGATATCTTTGTGATTTAATTTCAACTTATATATGACATTTCTGTACATCTGATGTACCTGTTACTGGTTTTGCATATTCCGTATGAAGTATAGCTTAGTCTCACTCTGACATGTGTTTTAATAGAAGGAAAAGGCTAGCTCTGTAATAGGCAAATTCTCGTGGAAAAGACAGCACGGTGATTATTTGACATGATTGCTGCTGACTGCACTACTGCCTCCAAGACAACTGGAACAAACACCATCCTGTGTCGGTGCTGCATGGAGTAGCGTACAGGAAACGACCTAGCAATTAACAAATGCAAAAATGATCGACTTAGAATAAAGAGAATTATCTGAAATAAAGTATTTGTGTCCTATATTCTCCAAGTTATGCCTATTAAGGGAACAATTAGAACTGAAATCATATCAAATTCAGAGCACTTACTGAAACAACCACAGTGAAAGCAGTGAGGTTGCTCCAAGAGCTCCAAAGCCGAAACCCAAGCACAGCCTGGAGGCATTTCCTGTTCAATGTAATGCAGTGCACTGAGGCCAGTATATGGCTCTGATATTGCTTTTTTTTTTTTTTAATGCCCTTATTTCCCACTGCTTCAAGTATCCTCACACAGCACCACTCACAGTTAAATTCTCGGTTCACTACTTTTCTCATTACGGAACTTGGCACCCAGAAGTTGTCCTATATATTTTTACAAGTTTCATTTTGAAGTGTTATTTGATTGCACTGAAATACATCTTTCTTGCTAACACTTACCTTTTCTTCACCCAGACCATGGGGAGATTTTGCATTTTATGTTAAAAACAAAACCACCAAAACAGTCAAGTACTCTAAGGGCACAGGAAGCAGAAACCACTGTCTGACATGGCTAACTTGGTGATGAGGTGAATTTCTAAGAGAAAACCAATGCTTGCAGAAGCCCAACTCCTTAGATTTCCCTGATGTTTCAGTAGGCTTATGTAAATGTGAAGAGCTGTCAGCCAGAACACCACCAGTTTAATAAGTTTCCAGATGATATGGCAAGGTGTTAGGGGATCTGCAACATGCCACTTTTTCTTCAGTCAATTGGCTTCTACCCATTCTGAGTATGAAAAAATAATAATAATAAAAGAATGATAAGAAGTTTAATGCCACAGAGTCATGTCAAGCACCTTCTCCACAAACAGCTTCAGCTGGCCCTCCCACCAGCACCTTACTGGGGACTAACTGAAGCAGCCATCTATTTGAAAACTCTGAGGTCATCTTGTGGGTGAATAGATTGGCAATTATTTCATTTAAATGTTGTGTTAAAAGCAGATCTTTCAATATGGTTACTGTTACACTAAGATGTTCATAAATGGGCATTTTTGAAAGTTTTAGATGAAAAGAGGATCTTTTCTTTCATTGATAACACACTGCTGGCCTGAAATCAGTGTATGCTAGCTCCTCATGCAGGTGATTTTGCTGCTGCTTAACCTTTAACTCCTGACATATAAAGCTGCTTACAGGTGAATTTGCCATACATTAAGCAAATGAACTTCTCACTTTTCCATCCTCCTTTTACCTATCAGAAGCAGTTCCGATGAAACAAGCTCTTCAAACATAACCTACAAGGTAAAAAAAAAAACAAAACCTTTCTACTAAAATAACATTCAGGTGCTATAAAGCCAGAATAACTCATGTTTAAAAGATGGCAACAGCGAAAGTTAATTTATCTGTATATACTTGGCTGTGCACTGGGGTACCAACATGCACAATCGATTGTTGCAAAGCATGTTTTACTTCTCCTAGTGAGCCGTAAGTCCTCCTGTAACAGAGAAATGCACCAGCCTAACCACTGCGAGGCCCTGAGATCAATTACCCAGCATAAGGAAAGGCGGGGCTGCACAAGCCATTAGAGGAAGGCAATTTCTGGATGAAGAGTAATGAATTAGGGATGACATTTCGGCTCTTGCATTTGCCAGTTTATGTCAAGAAGATAACATTAATTACATTTAGATTTTGTTTTGTTTCGCTGCAGTTGGGCTCTGTTCTGTGTTCACTTTTGCAGATAGAAGGAAGACAGATAGTAGTGTTTCACAGGTCTGTGATTCCCCTTTTGCCTATCCAGCAAGGATGTAAAAAATAGCCTTTGGGGATCTATGACAGCCAAGCCTGAGACCAGTGCCTCAGACTAACACATTACAGTGACAGACTGCTGGTGAGGGTGAGATATGCGACAGAGTGGAAATTAAAGCAGCTCCATTTTCATGTTTCATACAGTGATAGCAAGAACTGCACATATATGAATCCATGAATCCCTGCTACCAGCAGGATTAGGAATTTAATAAGAACTTAATATGGAATTTAAAAAGAATTTAATGTACGCTTATCATCTCCCCCGGATAACAATTGATAGCACGCTCAGCACATGCCCCCAGGCTGACTCCATCTGAATAAATCTCTACACCTGTGAAAAGCCCATGCTAGCACTAACTGCAACAAAAAAATATAAATATATAAAATCACAGTTTCTAATTCAGGGATAGAAATCAAGGTTCATGAAGGTAAACATAAAGAGTTTTACTTTTGTGTGTCCTGAATCTGTCCCTTGATCGTCGGGAGAAATTAAACGCTGACTTCTCGAACTGTTAATTCAGCTGAATTTATCTGTATTTATCACTTTACAGAGCACAGCGATGCAAGCAGCCCTGCCTGCACCTTATAGCAGGCATTCACCTGCCTCCTTCTCCAGCAGACTTCTATTTCATCTGCTGCCCAACTTGTGTTTTCAGAAACTCTAGGTTTGGAGGTACACCGTGCAGAGACAGCATCCCTCAAACCACCTCAGTAAGGCCTGGGGCAGTGCTAAAATGTGAATGAGACCGGAAATTATTCATCGCCTGGAGCGTGAAAAATGCAGCTGGTGTGACTGCCACAAATAAAGTACCACCAATAAACCATCCCCGGGCATTAAGTGAGTACGGCGTCTGGTAAGAAGAAGAAACGACCGCTCAGGAGTGGGTAAAAGCACAAGGATACCTATTTTGGGTTTACAGCAAGCACGTTTCTATGATTTACTGCCAGAAGTGAAATTAGGTATAGATTCAGACACGTGCTATTTTTTTCGCCGCTAATGACAGGGAAGTTAGCGCGGGTTATAAAAAGGTTACCGATGCACTTTCCCTTCTTTAGGAAACGCTCAGTAAAACGATCCCAGTAGAAAAGTGCCCTTGCCGAGCTGGCCACGAACCTTAGGCTGTTTCCTAGGCGAGGGATCCGACTCCCACCCTTCTAACACCGGGCACCCGAGCTGCCTTACCTGGTAGGCATCCAGCTGCTCGTCAGTGAATATTGTCTGCTTATTACCCATCTTAGAAGCCGAATTCTTCCTTTACGCAGATGCATCCCATAGGAAGCAGCCGGGCTGCGCTGTGCGGCGGGCATTTAGAGCACGGATCCCCTGCGAACGCGCCGGCAGAATCGCGAAGCCTGCATTGAAATGCTTTGGGCTGCGGAAGCAGGACCGGAAAACCTTTCACTCGAGCGCACCGAGGAGGCAGGCGCTGCAGTCACACGCAGGTGGCATCCGAAGGCGGCGATGCCATTCTCCGCCAGCTTCAGACGCGTCTCCACACAGAGCTCTCACGCCTCCCAACCCGCGGGGCTGTACGCTTACGAACGGCTTCGCAGCCGCCCGCCGCTCCGCTCCGTGCCTCAGCGCGCCCCGCGCAGCGCCGCCGCCTCACAGCGCCGCCTGGCGGCCCCTGCAGCGCCCGGCACCGCAGCGCTGCTGCGCACACGCGCAGAGCGAGCGAGCAAAAGAGCGCGAAGAGACGCGTGCACAGCACGAGCGAACTGCGGCACGTCGCGCCGCTCTCGGCTGAGCACAACTTTGCGGCTCGCGCTTCTTCACCCGCCCCGCTTGCATTTGTCGCTTTAATTCAACTGAGCGTTAAGCAATATTTACTCCTGGCGTAAGTAACTGCAACAGATCGATACTTTTCTGTGTGCACAGCCAGACTCTAACCCTAACGTTATCGGTGCCGGCTTTCATCGCTTCACACCCAATCACCTGCCGGGCAGAGCGCCGCAGGCTGAGTTCACACCGCGCTCTGCCCGCCCCGAGCAGCGCGAGCCGAGCGCCGCATCCCCGCTCAGCGCCTCAGCGACTAACGGGACGCGGCGCGAAACGCGCGCCCGCAGCACAAAGCACGGCGCATGCGCGCCTGAAGGCTCGGCTTCCCCCGCGGAGAAAATGGCGCATGCGCAGCTGTGCCGGGCGGTCAGACGCAGCCCTACGGCCCCGTTCCGCGGCCCCGCTGTCAGTCACACGAACAGTGGTGTCAGTCACACGGACAGCGGCTGTCAGTCACACGGACACCGGCGGCTCGGCGTTCCTCGCTGCCGCGACCGCGGCGCCGACGTAGCCCGCCCGACGGCGCGGGCACGGATCTCGGGAGCGCGGACCCCGCAGCGCAGCGCGGGGCGGGGCCGTCAGCGCAGCGCGAGGCGCGGCAGCGGCCGCCTCCCGGGGGCGGGGCGGTAGCGCGCGGCCGCTCGGCGCCGGTTCCGGTCCGTCGGCGACTGCGGACGTTGCGGGGTCGGAGGAGCGCCGGGCGCGCCATGGCCGCAGCCGCGTGGATGCCCGCGGTAGGTGCGGCGCGGTGCGGCGCGATGCGGGGCGGTGCGGCGCCGTTCCTTCGCGGGGTCCGGGCGCCGCGCCGGCCGCGTGACCTTGGCGCCGCGGTGCCGCGTGCGGAGCTCGGGGCCGCCTCGGAGCGGGGCGCGGCGGCGGCTCGGCCCTCCCGTCGCGGCGGTGCCTCTCGCCGCGGCATTCGCCGTCTGTCTGTCGTTGCGGAGCTTCCGCGGGGAAAACCCGATCGTCCGGGCCCGCGGGGCCTTCGCGACGCGCCGATCCCGAGCGGCTCGGGAAGGCCGCGGCCACCCACACGGGGCCGCCGCAGCGCGCCCGGCTGGCGGTCCCGGCTCGCGGTCCCGGCCCGCGCCTCCCGCTGCAGCGCTGCCCCGAGCGCGGGGCTCCCGGCGGCGCGCGCCCGCGGCCGTGCGATGACCTTGCGAGGCGAGGAGCCGTGCGCGGCGCTGCTGTCGCGGCGTTGCTCAGAGCGGACGCGGCAGCTGTCTGTCCTTCCTGCCCGCGCCCGTCGGTGCCCGCAGCCCCGCTTACGGTGTGCGTCGCTGAAAGGCGGAGATCGCGGCCGCGGTGCTGAGGGCGAGCTGCCCTCCTGTCCCCGGCGTGGTGGGACGCCCCGAGCGCAGGAGACGTCATTCTGTGCCGGTGCTGTGCAGGCTGCGCTCCTCGTTGCGGTGCTGACTTCTGCCTTTCGTGCACCCCTGGGTTTTTAAAACCTGCCGAGTACAGGGAGGGCTGCGGCCACGGATGTACAGACATAAATAAAGGCGAGAACAAAGTGCACCCCAGTTCCAATGGGAGAGCTTCCACTGGTAGGACTCGGCTTCGCAAACGTGTCCTGAAAGGTGCAGATGTGCTGCCCGGGCGGCTGGTAGGAGAACAAACATCTCACTTTGCTTTTCTCCTCAGCCGGAGTTGCTGAGTTCCCTACCGGCCAGGGAGCGGCTGTCCTCAGCTCACCTTGTGCTAAGAATACCCCAGAGGTATCACACAGCAGCTCCCCAGCAGCTTGGCAAAGCCATGGTTACTCTTTTTCATTTTAATTTGTGTTAATCCGGGTTTAAAGCAGAAGGAAACTTGAAAGGATACCATTGTAAAAGTGTGATTGCTGCAGCGCTGAACTGTTTGAAGATCCATTGGTGTGATAAGATGGCATCTTTTTGTTTTATGTTCCTGCAGGTTTCTCGACTGCTAGGTGCTTTCAAAAACCAAAAACAGGTGACCAGAAGTTTTAGTAGTGCTGTGAGTATGATAGTCATATTTTTTTCTTTTAAGAAGTTTCTCAAGAAAAAGATAAGGCCTGAATGAGTGAACGTTCATGCTTTTAATGCCAAGCTGGATTTACACTGGTTAATGACTTTGCTAATAAAAAGACTTAAGAGGAAACCAGGCATGGCATGATAACTTGTCACAAAACATGGACATAAGCTTCTGAAACTTCTGCCCATTCTGAAATGGACAAATATGGACAAATGAGATTGTTGAGAAGCTTCTCATCCTCTTTCTTTTGCAGACATTCTGCTAAGCAATACATTTACTTTAAATCCTGCTGCTTTCAGAGTACCTCACAGCTATGGTTCTGCCTTTTCATGGCCCTGCAGGCCTTTCTTCAGTGAAGGTGGCCTTGAAAACTGCAGTGGTGGAAGCAGAGCTCAGCACTGCTGCATGCACCCTTAGGCAGGACTTAAGGAAGAGTTGTGGTTTTTAATTCTAAGTTATGTAAAACTACTAGTGGAGAGAATCTGAAGTGAAGGTTGTGTCTTACAAGAAGATGTAGGCGAGGCTCCTCCTGATCTGCTTGTACCTCATTGTACTGCATCAGGTGGAACCTTCTCTGCTGCAGGTGTAGTCCTGCTGTGCTGTGGAGCAGGAACCAATCCTGCATTCCATCGGTGACCTGCTCACTTAGCTGTGATCTCTTATCTGAAGCTCTGCTTCTTTAGCTTTGCACAATAAAATTCTTTGGCTCTGTTTAGTGGAAACAAAACAGCTAAGATACACTGAAATCCTGAGCATTCCCATGGGAGAAGGCTGGGCACACATCTCATCACTTGATTATAATTGGGGTTTGGCATGTAGTGCTCTATACCTGCTTTTGTACAACAGGCAGCTTCCTTCCCCTGCTGTCCAGTGACTCCGGGCTGTGCAATTTAGTTCATGTGAGGATGATAAAAAAAAAAAACAAGATTGAGAATGTTATGGAAAGAAAGTAATCAGACATTATGAAAAATTGGCCTGAGATTTTTTTGAGAACCTTTTGAGAGGTTAAGATAGACTTGGTTTTTTTTGTTGTTTGTTTTTCTAAGCTTTTCATAAATTAAATCTTTTCTAGTGTGGGTCAGTATTACACAGCATGCAGATAATATGGGAGATGTATGGAAACAGAGCCGTAAGTAGGTAGTGTTGTCTCCTCTCTATTTTTCACAAAGAAAGCATTCTGAGATCACTTATTTCAAGGAGTACTGAGCAGGAACCTGCTGTTCAGGTTAAACGTGTGCTTTGAAACAAAAATAGTAAGCAGATTTTTAGACAGTTGTCTCAAGATGTTTGCACCTCCCTTTGAAAGCAAGCTATTCACTCTTGCTTCTGTCCACTGCTGCTGTTCTTCATAGTGATTTTTGGTAGCTCAAACTTTCTTTTCTAGTAGTTACTTGGTTCCTGCAACACATGAGAACGTTTCCTATGTGGAACACAGCATTCATTCCTTTTACCACTGATGCTTCCCTACCTAGGTACAAACAGTGACTTTAATCCCAGGAGATGGCATAGGACCTGAGATTTCTGCTGCTGTCATGAAGATCTTTGATGCTGCCAAAGTAAGTCACATTTGTCTTGCTGTGAGCATTGTAGCTTTAACTACAACAACAAATGTTAACCAGTTATAATCATGTTTGAGCTGCTGAAACTTTCTGGCAATACAAAGAGTCAGAAGCTTCCGATATTAAAAGACAGGATTGTGGTATCATGGCAGGGTCTGAAACTCTTAGCTGGATAGGAGTAACGAGTTGAGAGCAAATGTTGCATTTAAGTGCTGGAAATGTCAACTCAGTGTATCATGTGAAGCCACCTTGTTGACACAGCTACACTGAGTGACCGAAAGAAAAATGTTCTTTCATCCACAGTGACTTCTTAGTGCAGATCAAAGCACCTGTGAAGGGGACTGCCTTATTGTTAGAAAGCTAATGGCAATTATTCTGTTGTACCACATTCATCTCTGCGATGTGAAAACTGCATGTGTCCAAAGAGGACTGTGTTTCAGCATATCCAAGGAATTTCACAAGAATGTGTCCGGTTTGCTTGGAAGAAAACGCAGTTCTTCGGGAAGAATTACTGTCAAATTGTTCCCCTTCAATAACAGTATCAAAGCATATTCATTTTGTCTTACAACTGTCCAACTTAGATTTGTAAAAGGTGCTGTTCCTATGTAATCAAAGAGAAGCCTTGCAATAGCTTTGGCTGTCCCTGAGGACACAGGCAGGAGGTGCAGTGAGGTAAAACCTTTGCACAGAAGTGTATGTTTGCATACTTACTCTGATTTGTTTGTTTTATAGGGCATTTTGCTACTACGTTATACTTGGACTCGTTCCATTTGCTTATGAACAGCCTTAAGTCTTTTCATTGTGGCCCTTCCTGATGGACAAGGGGTAGTGAATGCAAATCCAGAAAGCACTGCAGGACGTGTAGATTTCCATTCAGATAACAGATGGATCTACTGTGCACTGTCTTCCATGCAGTTTGGAAGATCAGTTCTCAATGAGTTCAGTTTTTAAATGTCTTGTGTCTCTTGTCAGGAGGAATGTGACAGCTGTAGCAGGTGCAAGAAAGCAGTGTGTAAACACAATCCTAATGCTGTCTGTATGTTATGGCTAGGGAAGTGTCTTGTGGTGCTTAACTTTGTGCTGGTATAATATTGCTCAGACCATTTTGTTTTCAATTATTTACATTTTAATAGTTCACCTATATGTTCAACTTCAAGTATCTCATGCTTACTGTCACTCATTAGAGGAAAGGTGTTTAGGAAGGCTCAAACCTAATCTCTTTTTGTGAAAGAGGAGTTAAAATTGAGAGCAAAAGTCACGAGACTGAAGTTAACACAGAGCAAATGTGTTTAGGTTCCTATTCAGTGGGAAGAAAGGAATGTTACAGCTATCCAAGGACCAGGAGGAAAGTGGATGATACCTCCAGATGCCAAAGAATCCATGGATAAAAACAAAATGGGATTAAAAGGTACGTTGGGAGTTAATATATTGACATTAAATATTGTTTTTTTACGGGGACTTTGGTTTGAATCCAAAATCCTTCCTCAGTATCACAAAAAAAAAGGCAAATTATGGAGGACAGCCTATTAAGTAATCTTCTGTAATCTTTGCAATCTCTGTCATTTGTGTCAAAGCTGTAACTGTAACTGATGTTTAGGAAATACGTTACTAAATATCAGCTTTGGATTTGATACAGTATGCTTTTCCAAGGCAGTTGATACACAGCAGCTTGTAATAGCTCAGTTCCCAATGAACAGTAACTTCGTGTGTTGTTTGCACTGAAAATCGTTTTTTATAAACACCCATTCCACGTAAAATGAAGGCCACAGTTTGGCCCTGGAACAGCTGATGAATATCACCGTGTGGTATTCCTGAGGGCACAGAGAATTCCCCTGGCATTTACCATTGGGGTTACATAAGAATTTGCAGTTCCTCTCTCGCAGCGCCACCTGCTGCTTCAACCACTTCAATCACTTCATGGTACTTATGAAGTGGTTTTTATCAT